TCTCTTTCATAATAGTCCAGATATCTACCTCAACTTTGATAAGTTTTATTATAGGCCACAGCAACGCGTGGCAGGGCACAGCTAGTAATTTATAAATAACTGTCCTTAAAATCCTCTCATCACTCCTGTATCCTGGATTAGTCTTTTAAAGGTTTCCATTTACCCTGGGAAAACGATTGAAAAGCTTGATTGCAGTGCAAAAAGGGATTGACTTTTAAAGAGAGTATTAATCTGATTAACTGCTTTTTGGAAGGAGGCCAGACCGATGGTGAGGCTTTGTCTTCCTGCTCCAAAGGGCATTGGGTTACAATACCTGCTCTAAAGTCCCCATGGGCTTTATCACTTAAAAAAAAAAACCATTCTTTTTGACTGCCCTGCTATAAAATCAGTTGAAATCTTAGCAAGGTTACTGCTGCATCTTTAAGGATCTCATAGTTTTGGAAGAAAGGCTACTACTCTTTAGCGCTTCATGGGCACCAAGGATGTGGTAGTTGACAAATTTACTTTTGTAGGCTCTGATTAAGACCCATATAGGCCACATACAGTAAGAACTTTCCATACCGGGCAACTTGTTCCTTTTTGGGGTAATAAAGTCACTTGTTGGACTATCTGTTTCAGTCTACTTAAAAAAAAATGCTAAATCTGAAAGGTAAGTGAAATAATAAACATTTTGGGAGTGTCTAATAAAATTGGACAAGCTTCCCCACAACCAGTCTGAACAGGGAGAGATTTTCTGTTTGAACCCATCCGAAAATCCTTGTTTCTTCAAAAACATTGAACTAAATAGATATGCACACTTCATTTACAGCTAAAATACATTGGTGATACAGATGCACAAATGCTTAAATGAGCCAATTCTACCATTATGCATCATCATGGAATTGGGCTTTACAAGGGTAATTTCACCCAAATATATGGACAGAAATTTTACTTTGAGGATAATCCCAGCAATTGGCTCACTGTTTAAAAAGACAGTGAATGTTCCATTCAAACAGTAAGGCTTAAAAATAACTTCTGGAACATATATGTAAAATATATATGCCAAAATCCTGTTTTGTTTACTTTTTATGATTTGGATTTGCTTAAAATACTACCTTTCTAGGTAAACTCCCTAAGACTGTACATGGAAAAAACTATTAAAAATGATAAACTAAATCAGTAAAACAGCTGTAATAGCACAATAGATAATAAAGAGCATTACAAATTCAACCTGTAATAATAGTTTTAAAAACAAAGATTAGGGACACCAATAAATACACTGTCACCACACAGGAATAAAATTCTAAAATGTTTACAGTAGACACAATGGGACTTCAGGCAGTTGTGACTGAAGTCAAAATTAACTGAAATTAATGGGCTTACTCTCCATATGAATAAATTTCAATCTATCCCAGTACCTGGTATCCATTGTCTTCTATTAATCGAAAGACAGCTTAGCAGAAGAACACTTCTGGTGAGATAGGGAAGGAGACAATGGCTCTGTTCCATCTGCAGTTCTACATATATGCATATTGACATAACAATAAATCTCATGTTCATTGGGAATTAATGCATTGTGCCAGTGTAAAGGCAATTGTTAGATCCTAGAATAGCATAGTTGCATAACAGTAACTCAGTAAGCTGGCAACTATGTTAGTTTATTCAGCATGCTAATTCTAATTATAGGGCAACTAATAACTGCATGTAGAACATTACATTTGGGGCACTTTTCCAAAAAAAAGTCTCTAATTCAGAAAGGAACAATTGAAATGTTACATTTTCCCCTCCACAGGCTACCGAGTACTTGCCATATGATTACATTCCATGTGAGTGTCATAACTTTCATAATGTAACAGTCACATATATGGCCTTATTTCCTTTCAGATATGAACATATCATATATTAGGATTTATAGAGAATTGGAAAAGGAAATGAGAATATTTTGAATGCTTTCTTTAAATTTTATGCTATTTGAAACAATTTGTCTTAAGTTATGTCCAATCACACAGAAACGTGCAACATGGATAGTCTTTCTACCACAGAGCTGGATCAAGAGAATCACTGGAACCATCCATATGATCCACAAAAGGATTGGTAAATATGGCACAACTAGCTCATCTTCAGAGCCTGGTGGCAGCATCAATAAAATGCCTCCCCGGGGCACCTTTTCATCCTTGACCATTGCAGTGATTTTTTCTACAAGACCTGGATGCCATACTGGCAAGGAGTCAAAGGACAGTAGAGATGCCACCACAGGTTATAAAATCATCTAATTGGTAGATGCTACCCACCTTCAGGCTGATAACTGCTGATGTGAGCCTGAGGAGGTGGGCCCCCACTGTGGAGCCCACCTAGTGCAAGGTAGCTAGAACCCAGAAGAACAGGAGCAGTGTCAACTGGCTGGAGCTCAGAGCAGCCAGACTAGTCTGTGATTCAGCAGCCCTGATAAGGGTAGACAATATAACTACAAAGGCCTATATAAATTGGGAGTGGAGCAAAGTCATGTTCCCGGTGGAGGAAGCACAGATGTTATTGGATTTGGCAGAGAGGAAGCTGAAATCCTTCAAAACCAGAAACATACAGGGCACACTGAACTCAAGGGCAAGCTGACTAAGCCAGGCTGACATGGGCCAGCAGGGATGGAGTTACCTCCTGGAGGTCTTCCATATGATTACAATGACCCTGGGACAGCCTGCGTTGTATTGAGGCCTACCTGCAATACCTGTTTAGCTCTGGAACCATTGCTGGCCATCTGCCCTAGTCTCTGGTCTTAAAGGAAGAGCTCGAGAAGGAAGACAAGTAAGAGCTAGGTTTATGAAAGGAAATGTGTGCTTGTCTGAGAATGTGTCCTCTTCCATCCTGACTGTAGGGTTTGGTCAATATGTATGGGTATTTCAATATATGTATTTTAAGAGTATCACATTTTACCTATCTGTTTTAAGAATGTAGCCCGCCTTGAGCATGTACAGGCTGAAAAGAAACAAAAAACATTATTATCCCTATTTTCCACCAGGACTGGCTCCTAAAAGGGTGTGAATGCCTAATTTCGTGTTGACTTGGAATCTGAGTTGGTACCTTATTGCATGACTCCTGCCACAAAACTGAATCATATCTAGTGTGCCATCAGTCCTTAGTTATTCTTGTTTCCTTCTGATTGACCTTATTCAAGAGTTCCCTTGTCCACTGCAGGGATCCCTGGCCCCCACGGAGGCTGTGGCTGACTCCTGAAGGCCAGGGAAAGTGCATCATGGGCTTTCTTGAGAGCTGCCCTTTCAATTGTTCTGGTCATTCTTGCAAAAAATAGTAGATTCAAGTTCAGATATTGAAGCTTCCACTAGAGGAGTGGTTCTCAACCTGTGGGTTCCCAGATGTTCTTCAATATTTGGTACTTGCATACTGAAAGGAAGATTAACTATTCTAAAATTAGAGACCTTTTGTTGCTTCAAAATATGATTAATCAGAGATGATGATATTATAAAGGACTATCGATGAAAATCGATAGTGTTTGTCTACATCATGATACATTGTCACTTTTGTCATAGAGAGAGCTAAAAATATACAATACAGAACAAATGTTGTCCCTATCTTCAAGAAAGGGAAAAAAAGAGGACTTGAACAATTGCCATCCAGTCAGCCTGACATCAGCATCAGAAAGATTCTGGAGCAAATCAATATGGAGGCAGTGTGTGATCACTTAGAAAAGAATTATGCGATCACTAAAGGTCAATATGGATTTCTCAATAAGTCATGCCAGACTAATCTTATTATTATTATTATTTAGTTACAAGCTTTGTAGATGCAGGGAATGCCGTGGATGTGGCATATCTTGATTTCAGCAAGGCCTTCAACAAAGCCCCCATGACTGAATGCAATGGGTGCTCACCGATGGTTCCTCTTCATCATGGAAAAAATGACTAATGGAGTGCCGCAAGGTTCGGTCCTGGGCCCAGTACTATTCAATACCTTTATTAATGACTTGTATGAAGGTTTAGAGGAGATGTCTATCAAATTTGCAGATGACACCAAATTAGGAAGGATAGCTAATACTTTAGAGAACAGGATCAGAATTCAAAATGACCTTAACAGATTAGAGAGCTGGGCCAAAACTAAGAAAATGAATTTCAACAAGGACAAATGTAAACCACTATACTTAAGCAGAGAAAAAAAATGAAATGCAAAGATACAGAAGGGGTGATACCCTGCCTGACAGCAGCCCATGTGAAAAAGATCTTGGAGTCTTCATGGACAACAAGTGAGTCAACAGTGTAATGCAGCAGCTAAAAAAGCCAATGGGATTTTGGGCTACATCAAAAGAAGTATAGTGTCTAGACTGAGGGAAGTCATGGTGCTTCTCTATTCTGCTTTGGTTAGACCTCATCTGGAATACTGTGTCCAATTCTGGGCACCACAATTTAAGAGATATTGAGAAGCTGGAAGTGTCCAGAGGACAGCGACTAAAATGATCAAAGGTCTGGAGACCATACAAAATGAGGAGTTTCTTAAAGAGCCGGGTATGAGATTGGGAGGAGACATGATAGCCATGTTAAAATATGTGAAAGGATGTCATAAGGAGGAATGAGTAGGGCTTGTTTTCCGCTACACTGGAGAGTAGGAACAGGAGCAACGGGCTCAATTTACAGGAAAAGATACCACCTGAAGATTAAGGACTTCCTGACTGTAAGAGCTGTTCCACAGTGGAACTCTGCTTCAGACTGTGATGGAAGCTCCTTCCTTGGAGGCTTTTAAACAGGCTGGATGGCCATCTGTCAGTGGTACTTTGATTGTGCTTTCCCTGCATGACAGAGGTTTGGACTAGATGGCCCATGTGGTCTCTTCTAACTATTATTCTATGTTTTTTTCTAAAATAAAGGAATTTGCACATAAGGTTAAAAAAAACTATTTATGGCATGCATTGGAGCTGAATCCATTTCCAAGCTTTTTCTTCCTTTAAAAAAAAAAAACAAAAAACCTACAGCTCAGTTAGCTGAAGGTTTACAAGTCCAAAACATGACAAGTGAGACTCATGTATAAAGATGAGTTTATTCTCCAGTTTTTTTTCCACAAAATGAAACTCCAAATGATTTTTACTTTAATTTACTACCATCCTTTTGCAAAATTTTCATCCATTTTTGAAATAGAGGATAAAAGCCAATTTGAGAGTTCAATATAAATCACCTGAGCAATCATTTTAATACTTTTACTGTATACTTTTAACTGATTGAGGAAGCTTGAAATCCTTCTGCTATTGCCTATTCTTAAATGATTGTGACAAAAGGTGTCATTTAATAAATCCAAACCAGTGAATTATCAGACATAAAATTATAGTCACCAGATGCCCATCATTCTTAATAGTTTTCCTTTAATCAAGTTATTTTTGTATATAAATTCAACTTCACAGTTAAAATCTTTTTCTGCAAAACTAGCAAGCTTTTGCTTCTATAAAGAATCCGATAAACATGAAAATAGGCAGTTACAAATCACTTTCTGAAGAGAATACCGACATGAAACCTGCTAAAGTCATTTAATGCTAGAATTCAACAAGAAAGACTGTATACAAAAGCATGTATAGCCTACATGTCTCCAGAGGTAACATGGAATTTCAATTGTATTCCATGAAGTATGACTTGACAAAAGTAGAAAAATAAGTTTTGGGCACTATAAAGCATTTACTTCAGTGCAAATCTGTCTGTTTTAAAACAATTCAAACATGTGATCCTGTTTACAACTATAAACATAGAAAGTGGCATGGAAGAAGTAAACATCAGAAACTGTCACAATTAATTGCTGGTGACCAAAGAGTACTTTATTCTTCATAGCTGGCAGCTCCCTTCCATATAACTAGGAGAATTGAGTCTCATTGTAACTTTCTTCCCGCAGAAAATTACATGTTGTAGTAAAATGGGTGGATAAAAAATATGGGTAATCAAAATAAAAGCATACCCAAGTCCTTCACTGTATGTTATCTTAAATATGAATATTTTATACATGTCCCGGTTTTTCAAAGCTGTGTTATTCCACTGCTAGAAATGTCAACTGAAGTATCTTCCCTTTTTACCAGTGTATGTTGTCTGCTCGTGGCTGAATTTCTGGTCAACATCTGTAACAGATACAGGCTCTAGGCCTGCCCATGGGTCATCGAGCATTGAAGGTTTGAAATAATTTTCCACATCATCATTAGACACTCTTTTCTCTCTGCCATGCAGTCTACCAAATGGAGTAGATGTCCTGGGTGAACCCTTCAAGAAAAAGCCAAGAAGGCGAAAGAAAAGTAAATACATGCACCTAAATTAAAATGAAAGCTTTTATGTTATGTTCAAAATCTACTACTTTTAATTCATATACTTCTTTGTCTTAAGACGTTTATATACAAAGGTAAATTCAGAATTCTTCAACAATACCCCTTGAGGTTTTGAACTACTGCTTCTATTATTCCCAGTCAGCGACTTTTAGATTCTCAAGTCATTCCTGAAAAAGCATAACCAATGCTTGAGTATTGAGGTATTTGTCCAACACATCCAGAACTGCCTTATTTATGAAGTTAATTAGTAGCTACTTATGTACAAAACCCAAGTGTTTCCGTTTAAAGAGGCAATTCATTTTTTACTAACCTTAATCCATAAATAAGGAAAAAGATCAGATGACAAAGGTCTGAAATAAGTATTTAACCAAATATACGATGCCATACATAACAGCATTTCTTCACTTTCAAAACAAGATATTTAGGGGACTCCAATTTCCATTTCAAGGTACATATTACTCCAATGCTGGACTAATTTGTTTAGATACAAAAAAATGATTGCAGAGGAACAATGTGTATGGCACCTCTTAGGAGATGATTGGGCTTGAAAATTAATTTGGGTCAGAAAAGGGTTCTAAATAATTCTTTGGTTCCTACTCCCTTATCCAGTTATGCAATAATTATGTTATAGTCAGCTGAAACCCCATTCATCCATGTGGAAACCCACTGGGTGACCTTAGGCAGGTCACACTCTCCTAGCCTCAGAAATAAAATACAAGCCAAGAACATAAGAACCAAAATGTTTATACATTTTGAGTATGCCTTATTTGGAAATCCACACGAGTAGCTGAGACAAAGAAACCTTTCTGATATGTCATGCATGCAAGTTTGGTTTCAAGCACAAAATTAAAAACAATGTGCATAAAATTAACCTCTGGTTAATTGCACTAGGTGTACAACCAGCCCTCCAATTTTGTGGGTTTGATTTTTGCAGATCTGCTTATTCTCAAATGTGATTCAGGTGTTCCCTCTAGGAACCTCTAGCTCCTTCAGCACAACTCTATGGCTGACTTTACTGAAAAACTCTAAAGTAGAAAATACAGTATGCCAGCTTTTGAAGCTTCACTAGGTTTCCATTAGGCAAAGGTGTCAAAAAATCATAAAGGAGAAAAACTGTGACAGCATTAGAGACACAGGCTTAAATTCTGTCCACAGTTTTATTATGTGCCTTCAAATCACTTGTTAATTTACGGCAACCCCGTGGATTTCATAGGGGTTTTTAGGAGAGGAATACTCAAGAGTTGATTTTGGTAGTTCCCTTCTCATAAATGTGGCCTACTTCACCTGATATTTGTTGGGAGCCTTTCATTCATGTATTAATCATGGGTGACCCTGCTTAGCTTCCAGGACCATGCAGGATCTGGTGCCTTTTAATCTTTTTCTACTGGTCTTTTATTGCTATCTGCCCCTTGTAGGGGATACATTTTTGCCAGCATTGAAATCCCTCAATGCCATATTAACTGGCAATGTCTCAGGCAGAATGTATGCCCATATGTGCAAACAGATAGTTTTAAAAGTGTTACTACACTTTGATTCCTCCTGCGACCTTTCTCCTTTTTAGAATGTAGGCCTATGGCTCTTGACATCATCACCATTTTTCTCCTGTATGGTTGTTTCAAGCCTTTTCATAGTCAAGAAGCCAAGGAAGCTTCAAAAGCTTTCATGGCATATTTGCTCTTATGATATGGCCCAATATAGGTATTGCTGCTTATAGGCCATACTTTCAGGCTAGGCTTTGAAAACTTTAGAACAGAGCTTTACAAATTGTCCATTGTGACATATAATATGGTCAGTGTAGACTTATATATTGCAGATTCTATGATAATGTTGAAGTGGTTAATAATGGTTTCTATTGCTTAATACGAGAGACACTGAATGAGCTAGATGTTGTGGCTTTTTTTTAAAAAGGTTTTTGCCCCCAACACCAATTGCCGCTCTGGGGTGGCAGAATGAAAAGGGGGCAGCCGGGAAGACACAGCTCCATCTTGTCTCATCATCACTTGGGAGCCCCTCGATATATACAATATATAGAAATAATAACATAAATAAAATAATAGCATTGTAATGTAGTCATACTAATATTACATTGTACATAATATTAATAATGTTGTAATATATTATATATACGGCAACCTATGATATAGTACAATATATTATATAATACTAATAGTATAATATACTGGTAAGTAAAGGTAACCAAACTATCTGCTCCATCCCTATCTCATCCTGATTTTAGTATTTTTAGTATCTTGGTTTTTATCTTGCACATGCGGCCCGCTCATTGTTATGTTATGTTATTTTACTGTGTATGATTTTGCTTTACTGTCTTTGTACTCATATCTTGTATGTATTTTACTGTGTTGTTATTGTGTTTTGGTTTTACTTTATTGTAATATGCTGTTGGGCTTGGCCACATGTAAGCTGTCCCGAGTCCCCATAAATAATAAAGTTTATTTATAATAATAATAATAATAATAATAATAAAGATTTCCCCTTTGACATTGCATTATAAAAATTGAGTTATAATAATAATAACAACAGACATAGGAATATGGAACAAATGGATGATGAGATTGGACAACGTTTTAACCAGGAGATGCAAATGATTTGTGTCTTATTGATCTTGTTATGGTTTTATATTATACTAGCTGTATGCTGCCATGCGTTGCTGTGGCCTATAGTAAGAATTTTCGAAGTTGAGGTAGATATCTGGACTATTATGAGAGAGGTACCTACCTATTCCTTCCCTCCTTTTTCTTCCCCTTTCTTCCTTCTTTCTTTCCTTCCTTCTTTTGCTCTTTGGTTTCATCCTTCCTTCTCTCTTTCCTTCCCTCCCTCCCCCTTTCTCTACTTCTTCGTCTCCTTCCTTTGTTCACTTTTTTCCCCTTTTCTTCTTCCTTCCTTCTTTACCTCTCATTTGTACTTTTTCTTCTTCCTTCTTTCGGTACCTCTTTCCTTCCTTCCTTCTCTCCTTCCTTCTTTCTTTCTCTCCCCCCTTCTCTCCCTCCTTCATTCCTTATCTTTTTCCCTCCCTCCTTTCTTTTCTCCTTCCTTCCTGTCAGTTCTCCCCCAATACCATGGTATTATAATTCTATATATATATAAGTTGTATATTTAAGTTGTAATGTTTTTGATTGTGAGCCGCTTTGAGTCTCCGTATGGAGAGAGAATAAAGCGGGATATAAATAAAATAAATTTTAAATAATCCCCAGGCAGGCTTCCTCAAGGAAGTCTTTGGGGCCTCCCTTCTTCCCGCCCTCGAGGCCCGTACCTGGCTGTATCTCCGTTGGTAGCCCCCTGAGAACGGTTGCTTAAAGGGCGGCTGCTGGTGCTGAGGAGAGCGCCCCCGTCCTCCGTCGTAGGACCTTCGCGGCGTGTGAGGCCCTGGTGGAGACGCCACTCCGACCCGCCCAACGCCCTCCCCGCCCGGCTGGAAACGCGGTGAGCCCGTCCGGCAGTCGTAAGGCCCGTAAGGCGGCGGGGTGTAGCGAGGGCTCCGGAGGCCTTGCGGGGAAGGCCCGCCCGGCGGAGGAGGAGGGCTCCGGAACCCCCCGCAGGCCGAAGGAGGCGGCGTGAGCGGCCAGTAGCCCTGCCGGGGGAACATGGCGCCAACAACAACAACACAGGCACCTCAGAAACCTCCCGTTGGGGATGCTTCCGCTTGGAAGATTGTCCCGGAAGGGGCGGGGCAAGAAGGAAAGCACGTCTCTCCTGTTCCTCCCGCGCGCCTTCAGCGGCTTCGCTTATTGGACGTCTGCGTTGCCGCGCGATTATGAAACGCCTGTGGCCACGCCCCTTTGCGTTCCCTTGCCTACCGTTGCCCTCTGGTGTTCAAAAAGAAGGAAGGAAAAGGGAGGTTTCCTGACTTGCGCCTGCGCAGTGTGTTCCAGTTGATTTGCACGAGAACGAGCGCATGCGCAGCAGAGGCCTCGGTGGAATTTGGACCTAGAGTCCACAGGCTTGGTCTAACTCCGCTTCCTACTGCTGTCCTGGGCAGGAGTCAGTCGCAGAGATGCTGGGGTCTCGCCTGGCCTTGCAGTGCCCCTTCCTCCGTGGCCTACCGCCAACCAGACTCACCGCCTCCAGGGGGAACTGCCCACCTCCAGGTAGCCCCATTTGCCTGGCCCAAGCGCCTTTCCTTGGACTGGGTTGTTGTAGGTTTTTTCGGGCTATATGGCCATGGTCTAGAGGCATTTTCTCCTGGCGTTTCGTCTGCATCTATGGCAAGCATCCTCAGAGGTAGTGAGGTCTGTTGGAACTAGGAAAATGGGTTTATATATCTGTGGAATGACCAGGGTGGGACAAAGAACTCTTGTCTGCTGGAGCTAGGTGTTAATGTTTCAACTGACCACCTTGATTAGCATTTGATGGCCTGGCAGTGCCTGGGGCAATCTTTTAGATGTGCCTGATTGTTTCCCCTCTGTTATTTTGCTGTTGTAATTTTAGAGTTTTTTATATACTGGTAGCCAGATTTTGTTCATTTTCATGGCTTCCTCCTTTCTGTTGAAAAGAACCCCACCTCCTCCAAGATGAACTGAACCACCTCAGATGGAGTAGCTATGGGGAGCCCTCTCAGCCTGGTCATAGCTAATTTCTACATGGAACACTTTGAAAAACAAGCCCTGAAAACAGCAACAAAAAAGCCCACAATATGGTTCAGACATGTGGATGACACTTTCACCATTTGGAGCTATGGAGGAGAAGAACTCAACAGGTTCCTAGACCAACTTAACAGCATCCACCCAAACATTGAATTCAACATGGAAAAAGAAAATGAAGGAAGACTGCCATTTCTAGATGTCCTAGTCATCCGCAAACCAGATCAACAATTGGGTCACACTATTTACAGAAAACTCTCACACACAGATAGATATCTACATAAAAACTCCAACCATCACCCGTCAAAAAAAAAAGCCTTGGCAGACCATGCAAAAAGAATCTGTGAACCCCACCTCCTCCAAGATGAACTGAACCACCTAAACTGGGCTCTACAGGCCAATGGATACTCCACCTCAAACATCAGAAGAGCAGCAAGACCGAGAACAAGCCACGAGAATAAAGATGAAGATCCACCCAGTGAACAAAATCTGACTACCAGTATTAAAAAAAACTCTAAAATTACAACAGCAAAACAACAGAAGGGAAACAATCAGACACATCTAATCACCTCTCAACAAAAGATTGCCCCAGGCACTGCCAGGCCATCAAATGCTAATCAAGGTGGTCAGTTGAAACATTAACACATAGCTCCAACGGACAAGAGTCCTTTGTCCCACCCTGGTCATTTCACAGATAAATAAACCCATTTTTCTAGTTCCAACAGACCTCACTACCTCTGAGGATGCTTGCCATAGATGCAGGCGAAATGTCAGAAGAAAATGCCTCTAGATCATGGCCATATAGCCCGAAAAAACCTACAACAACCCAGTGATTCCGGCCATGAAAGCCTTTGACAATATTTTCCTTGGACTGTTTCTCCCAGAGGAGTGCCTCACAGGGAAGAGGGAACGCACGCACAGAACAGGCCTCGCTCTCCACCACTTCTTCCCAGCTATTGGGCCTCCAATTGTTTTGGATTCCAACTCCCAGAAGTCCCTGCCACCTTCCTAGCAGCTAGGAATTGTGGGAGTTGAAGTTCAAAGTACCTGGAGGTCCAAAGGTTGAGAACCACTTCTCAACACTGTAGGGTTCATGCAGTTTGACACTGTTTTCACTGCTATGACTCAATGGTTTGGAATCCTAGGAGTTGTCGTTTTGCCAGAGCTCTTTTGCAAATAATAATAATAATAAAAAAAAAACTTTATTTGTATCCATCTCCCCAAGCTTACATCAAAATAACAGTGCAAACCACAAACAGTAGTTAAGATAAACAAAAAATTAATAACTTAAATCAACAATATTTATTTATTTATTTATTTACTATATTTATATACTGCTCCTCTCAGCCAAGAGGCGACTCGGAGCAGTTCACAAATTGGCAACAATTCGATGCCTCAACGATTATAACAAGTCAAAACAATCAAGAAATTCTGTTAATAACAATAGCATATGATGTAAAAAATATAAAAACCTTACAAAGCCTTAAAATATCACGAGCGTCTCCATGTCAAATCGTTATTCCATTGCATTATCAAGTAGTTCCATAATTCCGTTTAGCTATGCTGTATTTGGGAAGGCCTGCTCAAAAAGCCAGGTTTTCACTTTTTTTTTGAAAAGTCGGGAGGGAGGGAGCCGATCTTATATTTCTAGGCAGGGCGTTCCATAGTTGAGGGGCCGCCACTGAGAAGGCCCTGTCTCTTGTTCCCGGCAGACGCATCTGCGAAGAAGGCGGGAGCGAGAGCAGGGCCTCCCCAGAAGATCTTAACGTCCTAGATGGTTCATAAGGAGAGATACGTTTGGATAGGTAAGTTGGACTGAAACTGTGTAGGGCTTTATAAGCTAAAGCCAGCACTTTGAATTGTGCCCGGAAGCAGATTGGCAGCCAGTGGAGCTGGCGCATCAGAGAAGTTGTGTGCTCCCTGAGCACCACTCCTTTTTAGCAACCTGGCTGCCACTCATTGGACCATTTGTAGCTTCCAAGCAGTTTTCGAAGACAACCCCATGTAGAGCGCGTTGCAGTAGTCTATACAGAACGTAACCACAGCGCGGACTACTGTGGCCAAGTCAGACTTCCCAAGGTATGGGCGCAGCTGGAGCACAAGTTTTAACTGCAAATGCTCCCCTGGTCACCGCCAAGACCTGGGGCCCCAGGCTCAGCGATGAATCCAGGATCACACCCAAGCTGTGAACCTGTGCCTTCAGGGGGAGTGTAACCCCATCCAACACAGGCTGTAACCCTATACCCTGTTCGGCCTTGCGACTGACCAGGAGTACCTCTGTCTTGTCTCGATTCAATTTCAATTTGTTCTCCATAAATAGCGACAGAAAATAATATAAAAATAAAACAACAGGTTAAATTGACACAGACAACCATCTTTCATTAGTAAAAACAAACAGTGGTTATGTTATATAAACCAATTAAAACATCCCAGGCACAGGTCTGGGCAAAAGAGCGAAAATCCAATGAAAACTTGGTCCCATTTAAATCCTGCAACCGTTGGATACTGCATTAACCATTGTCAAAGGTTTTCAGTTCCTACTGAAACGTCGAAAGCGTGGAAGCAAAGAAGACTTTGTAAAACGACAGTGTTTGTGGTTCAGTCCAGGGCTTCCCAAACCTTTTCATCCAGGGAGGCCTTTTTGAAGCAAACGTTTCTCGTGGAGCCCCAAGAAATTTGTAGAGTTTAGTTCTATCTGTCTGTGTTCTATGAGGCATATTGGAGAGACATATCCGGGAGCACTTCCAAGCTGCATTTATTAAGTTTTCCTTAATAAAGTAAACAGTAAAAACAGAACTGGAGACAATAGTATTCATTATTTAAATCTGTGAAATGATAGAGCAACTAGTTAAGATATTTGAAAAATGTTACAATGTTACATGTACACCCAAAGTTAATGAGAACAAGGTGTCAGAGTTTAGAGGAGATTCCTTGAAATCTCCCTCCTTGCCATGTCTTTTCTTTGTTTTAGATGTTGAACATTTTAAATACATTTAAATGCTCAAAATCTCAACATTTTCAACACAAGTGCTCATAACATGTTAACTATCTCAGTTATAATGAAATAACCTATGAACGTTTTTTCTGTCCTGAGCAAAAAGAGAATATATATATACCTCACAGAATAAATGTAAATAAGTTTAACATGTCACAATCAAGCAAAGTAAATTACTTCCAGTTCTTGATTTTAGGGCCCTTCCAGACAGACCCTGTAGTCCAGGATCTGATCCCAGGTTTTCTGCTTTAAACTGGATTATATGAGTCTGCGCTGCTAGATAATCTGGGGTAAACAGATATAGGACCCATCTGGAAAGGCTCTTATATTTCCAAATCTTGATTTTAGTTCTATTGAATTCCATGTCTTCTTTTAATGGCCGGAGCACCCTCATCATTATTGTTCCCCTGTCTAATGAAGGTCCCGCTCAGTTTTCTCTCAACCTTCTTCTCTCTCTATTCTGTATTTCAAAACACATTGACCATCTGATTGAGTAGCTTGGCTCGCCAGCTCCTCGTTCTATCTCCACTGCTGTGATTTCTACTGGAGCTCTCGGCTTTTCTTTTTTGGCTCATTGGCCTACTCCTATCAACAAATCTGTTCCAAGAGACATCCACAGTGCGACTGCCCATCACAGAGATGGGGAGAGGGGAGGCAGAGAGGAAGGAGGAGAATGGAAACAGCATTGCACCGCCTGATGCGGAGCCACTCATAATCACTTGTGGAGCCCCAAGCATTTCGTGGAACACACGTTGGGAACTCCTGGTTTAATCTATATTGGCTGTTTGGAAGTGTGGGAGTTGAAGTTCAAAACACCCGAAGGGCCAAAGTTTGCCCGTATCTCATCTACAAAGTTGAGCCATGGCAGTTGAAATAGTGTCATCCCGCTTTCGTTCCACTGTGTAGATGCAACCTCCTCGGAATATGAATCCCTGCTCAGCCAAGGAAACGTACTGGACAGTCTTGTGAGAAACTCATCTTCTGTCAACATCAGAGGAAGGCAAAGGCAACCTTTCTCTGAACATATCTTACTAAAAGAATCACATGCTAAAGTCACCTCAGGGTCATCAGGAACGACTTGAGAAAGCGACAGCAAATGAAAACATTGCTATTCAACCAATTTAGTTAATTCTTATTAAAGCATGAGTTAATTTAAAAAAAAAATAATACCATGCCTCTTAAGGTAAAATGTAACAATCAACTCACAGTTTCCATAGTGAGAGCTTAATTGTTTTGCTACATCAGAAACAAATATTTTGTAGTAACTTAAGGATAAAGAAACACATTATTTGATACATTTTTGCAGTTACAGGAATGGGAATATATATAAAAAAGAGAAGGGAGTTAATGATGGAAGAAGGGAGTTTCTGAAAAGTGAGATACGGAAGGCTCAGGCCCCTTCCACACTGCCCCTGTATCTCAGATTCTGATCCCAGATTATCTGGCAGTGTAGACTCATATAATCCAGTTTAAAGCAGATAATCTGGGATCAGATCCTGGGATATATGGCAGTGTAAAACAGGCCTCCATTGCAAACAGTGCCAGGAAGAACATATCTAATCTAAAGAAACCAGAATGGATGTCCAAGGAACTTTGAGCCGAAAGATTTAAAGGAGACATGTACAAGAATTAGAAAAGGGGGAAATCACCAAAGAGGAATTCAAACGGATAACCAATACATGTAGGGAAATGGTCCGAAACGGTAAGGCTCTAAATGAGTTCAAGCTTGTGAGATTGAAACCCACTCACCGCAAGTATTGCAATGTATATACATTCTATTTTATCTCTCACTATATCTGATCAACACTTGTCATATTCCATGTTCCTATCATCTATGTTGTGCAGCTTTGGACATTCTTTTAGCCTCTGAGCGCGTTAACAGTTGAGCCTCTCACTTTAACAGTCTTCTCCAGCCTGTAATCTCTTCATAGCCAGTCTAGGGAAGGGTAAACACCCTCTTTGATCAAGATAGTGGAAATCATTCAGACCCCTAAGAATTCAGAGTTTTGGCCAGAGAATCATTTTAGTTCATTCTTTTTCTTAAAGTTCTGGGACCCTTTCACACAAAAGTTTTTTTTCAACCAATCTCCAAAATTTCAGATTGCTTAATCGCAAACACTCAGATTTTCCAGGTTGCTTTGTTGTTTTTTTTAAATCAAAAGCAACCGTGATCTGTTAAATATATTTTTTTTGTATGTTTTGTTTGGAATTTGCAAAACTTACCCCTGGTGGCACAATAGGTTAAACCGCTTGCTGATTGAAAGGTTGGCAGATCAGATCTGGGGAGCGGGATGAGCTCCTGCTGTTAGCCCCAGCTTCTGCCAACCTAGCAGTTTGAAAACACGCAAATGTGGATAGATCCTGGACCAGCGGGAAGTTAACGGTGCTCTGTGCTGCCATGCTAGCCACATGACCTTGGAGGCGTCTATGGACAACGCCAGCTCTTCGGCTTAGAAACTGAGATGAGCACCACTTCCAGAGTCGGACTTGACTTAGGGGAAGCCTTTACCTTTTACCACAGTACAGGCATTTGCTGTTTCCCAGTGCAGTTATTTGATTACTGTGTATTCAATAAAATGTGTATTCAGTATAATAGGTCTGTGTGGCTGAGACTTCAGTGTGCTTAAAATGAGATACCCTAAAAGTCATGGTCTTTTACAGGTGTACCTACTTGGAACATGTATGAGTTTGTGAAAGTGCTCTGAGAGCAGACCCTGGTAACATTATTGCAGCATGGACTTCAGAATATAAAATTAACATACTGTATATACTGGAGTATAAGCTGATCCAAATATATGCCCAGACACCTAATTTTACCACAAAAAAACGAGGAAAATGTATTGACTCGCGTATAAGCCAAGGCTGAGAAATGCAGTGGCTACTGGAAAATTTCAAATTAAAAATAGATACCAATAAAATTACATTAATTGAGGCATCAGTAGGTTACATGTTTTTGAATATTTACATGAAACTGTAATTTAAGATAAGACTGTCCAACTCTGATTAAACCATTATTCTCACCTTGTGCTTATGTATCCTGCCAGTAATAATAAAGAGAGTAAAATAATAAATGTAATGCAAATAATAATAGAGTAAAATAATAAATGTAATAATAATAAAGAGTAAAATAATAAATGTAATAGCAATAATAGTAAATAGAGTAAAAGAATAAATATAATAATAATAATAATAGAATAAATCAATCCCCGTACCTTGGGAAGTCTGACTTGGCCACGGTAGTCCATGCTCTGGTTACATCCCGTATAGACTACTGCAATGCTCTCTACTTAGGGTTGCCTTTGAAGACGGTCCGGAAGCTTCAACTAGTACAACGAACGGCATCCAGGTTGTTAACAGGAGCAGCGCTCATGGAGCATACAACCCCCTTGTTGTGCCAGCTCCACTGGCTGCCAGTTTGCTACCGGGCCCAATTCAAAGTGCTGGCTTTGGCCTATAAAGCCCTAAACGGTTCTGGCCCAACTTACCTGTCTGAACATATCTCCCCCTACAAAACACTGAGGACTTTAAGATAATCTGGGGAGGCCCTGCTCTCGGTCCCGCCTTTGTCACAAGCACGTTTGGCGGGGATGAGAGACAGGGCCTTCTCAGTGGTGGCACTTCATCTATAGAATGCCCTCCCTAGGGAGATCAGATCTGCTCCCTCCCTCTTGATGTTTCGGAGGCAAGTTAAAACGTGGCTATTCGAGCAAGCGTTTACAAATATAGAGTAGCTAATATAGGAAATTGAATGACCTGACAATGGAATTGGACAATGCTTGAGAATAATGAAACACTGATGATGTTGTTTTTATTGCTTTTGATGTCTTATACTGTTTAATGTTTTTTATCTATATTATGTTTTATGTATACTGATTTGTTGGAAACCGCCTTGAGTTGGCAACTGGCTGAGAAAGGCGGTATACAAATACAGCAAATAAATAAATAAATAATACCTGCAATGAAAAAAAATAGAGTAAAAGAATAAATGTAATAATAACAATCAAGAAAAAGAATAAATGTAATATTAAATAATAAATATAATAGTAATAATAGTAATAACTACCATAAAACAATAATAGAGTAAAATAATATATGTAATAACAGCAATAATAAATAGAGAAAAGTCATAAATGTATACTTGAGTATAAGCCGAGGGGAGCTTTTTCAGCCTAAAAAAGAACATTTACATCTTTATTTGGTTAGGGAGAAAGTTTTGTCTTTTAAAACTTTTTTTGGGGGGGGGGGTGCAAACATTTATGCAGAGTGTATTCTACTATTGAGTTAACATGAATATGTGTAACAAAAACATATTTCCAAAGGAGGGCAGAATTGTATTTTTAAAAATCCGTCTCTATAAGAAGGAAGCAAGATTGCTTGTCATGTAGAAGAAATATTTCTGGTGAACAGGGATTTCAGAATTGTTGTATCTTTCCGTAGGCCCCTTCTACATAACCATATAAAATCCACATTGAACTGGATTATATGGCAGTGTGGACTCACATAATCCAGATCAGAGCAGATATTGTGAATTAAAGTAATATAAATCTTTGATATTCTAGATTATATAGCTGTGTAGAAGGGCCCTTATATTGTTTCTGTCTTTATCTGTCCTATACATTAAGGAAATTTTCTTTATAGCTCAGCAGGAAAGACTTCCATAACAAGTTAAGCATCTTCTAAAAGACTGGTGAATATAAAGGTATCTTTTTGCTTTTGCACAGGTGGCACTATTGGGAAACCACTGACAGGTGTGCGAATCCTTGATCTAACAAGGTTTGTCTTTCCTATCGTGTAGATCAAAAACTGTTGTTAAAAAACTACCTAGCTGGGGAAAAAAAACCCATATTACTTTTTAACTTTGCAGAGTTCTTGCTGGACCATTTGCTACCATGAATCTAGGAGACCTTGGAGCTGAAGTAATTAAAGTGGAAAAACCAGGTAAAATAAATTTGTTTGGTATTTTGCATACATTTGACTTTTAAAATTCTACATGGTTTGGGTCCAGGTTACCCACAGGACTGCCTTCTACTGTATAGTCCACCCCAAATACTTAGGTCCTCTGGGAGGCGTCTATTCCAGCCTGCCAGAACTCGGCTGGTGATTATCAACCAAAGGACCTTTTAATCTACCACCCCAAAACTGGCCTGCCAGAAGTGCTCTGACAACTAAGGGCCCTTCCAGACAGGCCTTATATTGCAGGATGTGATCCCAGGTTTTCTGTTTATCCCAGATTATCTGGCATTGCGGACTGATATAATCCAGTTTAAAGCAGAAAACACATCCTGAGATATAGGACCTGTCTGGAAGGGCCTTGAATGAGGAATTGTGTCAGAATTTAGCCAGCCACTTTTAATCAAGAATTTTAAACTCGTGTATTGTGTCTACTCTATTGTAATCATTGTTCTATGTATTTTAACATATGTATTTTGTAGAAATACATTTTAACGTGTGTATTTATGTAATGATTATGTGTTTTTAGCTGTGTTGTAACCTGCCTCGACCCAATATTTTTTAAAATGAGGATTGGGAATTGTAATTATTTATTTATTTATTTATTTATTTATTTATTTATTTACTGCATTTATTGACCGCCGCTCTCAGCCCTAGGGTGACTCGCGGCGGTGCACAACATATAAAAACAGTTTACAAAAAGGGCAAAACAGGGAATCAATACAACAATAATACACTATAATCTAGTTACACTAAATAATCCGCTCCGTCACATCATAGAATCATAACCAATATCGTAATCCGTATTCCGTTCCAGTTGTCAATTACCAGTTGCCGTAGCGCTCAGTTGAATGCCTTCTCAAATAGCCAGGTCTTCAGGCTCTTTCGGAAGGACAGAAGGGAAGGCGCCTGTCTGATGTCAGCAGGGAGGTCGTTCCACAGCCGGGGGGCCACCACCGAGAAGGCCCTTTCTCTCGTCCCCGCCAGACGTGCCTGTGAAGCAGGCGGGATCGAGAGAAGGGCCTCCCCAGACGATCTCAAGGTCCTCGTGGGCTCATAGGCCAAGATGCGGTCCGAAAGGTATTTTGGGCCGGAACCGTTTAGGGCTTTGTAGGATACACCAGCACCTTAAATTGGGCCCGGTAGCAAATCGGCAGCCAGTGGAGCTGGAACAGCAAGGGCGTTGTATGCTCCCTGCGTCCCGCTCCTGTTAGTAACATGGCTGCCGCGCGCTGGACTAGCTGAAGTTTCCGGGCCGTCTTTAAGGGCAGCCCCACGTAGAGAGCGTTGCAGTAGTCAAGGCGGGATGTGACCATATCCTTTTTCTGCTACAGATAAAGTGATTTTTTTTGCTTTGCTATCCTGCATTATCAACATTAAATAAATTCAGTTATCATCAGCATTATAACACACACAAGAACCAGAGAGAGTAGCACAAAATGTTGTATTGCAAAAATTAAAAGATAAAAAGCAAAAGCAAAGGCAGTTCTGTCAAACAGCAATAAGAGCTGGAAATAATGCCACTGAAACAACTCATAAAGTAGCTTATATACTCCGAACAAAAGAGAAGTGATGTACACACTGTGAACTAATACATTGCTGAAGTTGTAGGATGCTTAGATCCTGATAATATTTCAAAGTACAAACAGCTTCCACTTTCAAAGAGGACCATAATTGATCAGCAGTATGAATTAGCCTGTAACTTAATGGATCACCTTCATGCAATACTTCAGAAGAAAAAATGTATTATTCAACTTCTTTGGATGAGTCAACTGATACTACTTGGCACAGGTTTTATACTTTGATGTACTCTGTTGCAGGCATGTACACTTTCCTGGCTTGCGTGCATGCCTCGCCACATATGCACTCTCTTTCCAAAGAAAGTGCGTGTGTGATGTGGCATGCACACAGGCCTGAAAAGCATGCACACCTGCCAGTGTTTACAGCCAAGCACCTCTTACACTAGAGTAGAAACAGTAGGTGCCAGTTAAGAAGAATGGAAGTGAATGATGGTAAGGGGTGCCAGTGGGTGAAAAGACCCTCCTCCACCCATAATGGTCCAATTTTTGGGGCCCCGAACTGAAAACAACCCTCTCGATTTTGGGAGGCTCTGAAAAAATAGACCCCCCCCCCCTCCCCCACGAAAGCCAGGACATGCAGCAGGACAAGGTTTATCCTGAAAGCACAACTCTACCAGCCAGGCCTAGCATATAAGTTCCACTTGGAGTAAATACTTTTGCAATACAGTGGCGTCACATTAGGATTTCCCCTTCAGTTTCTTCAGGGACACATAACGAAAGTCAATTTTTTCAGGAAAAATGGTTATAATTTTGTTTGTCCTGTTTGATTTTTCTTCACATTAAATATGTTAACGAGGTCATCCATACAGGAATATTTGTATTGCCACCCAATTACCCGCTCTTAGCTGCGGTGGCACAATGGGTTAAACCCTTGTGCCGGCTGAACTGCTGACCTGAAGGTCGGAACTTTGAATCCGCAAGACAGAGTGAGCTCCTGTCTGTCAGCTCCAGTGACTGAGAGGAGCATGATAGAAGCTACCCATAGGATGGTAACACATCTGTGCGTTCCCTGGGCAATGTCCCTGCAGGTGGCCAATTCTCTCATACCAGAAGCGACTTGCAGTTTCTCAAGTTGCTTCTGATATGATTTTAAAAAACCCGCTCATGATTACCACAGTTAAGTAATGATCAGTGATTATCTATAGGAGCCCCCGGTGGCACAGTGGGTTAAACCCCTGTGCCAGCGGGACTGAAGATCGACAGGTCACAGGTTCAAATCTGGGGAGAGGTGGATGAGCTCCCTCCATCAGCTCCAGCTCATGCGGGGACATGAGAGAAGCCTCCCACAAGGATGATAAAAACATCAAATCATCTGAGCGTCCCCTAGGCAATGTCCTTGCAGACGGCCAATTCTCTCACACCAGAAGCGACTTGCAGTTCTCAAGTCGCTCCTGACATGACAAAAAAAGTGCTTATCTTTTTGCATATCAATACATCTCACCGTGTGGATTAAAATTGCTTATCTTATCATATTTATAGTTGACTGTCACCTGAGGCAACAGCCACACAATTGATGAAATGACTTGGAGACCACAAACAGGGATGGGTTTATCTTTAAATTGGCAACTGCCTCAGGCAGCAAGACGCCAATAGGGATCAAATACGCTGTCCAAGAAACAAAGAAAAAGAAAGTGTAAGAGAAAATTTTGAAAGGAAGCAGAGAAGAAAAAGGCATTTCAATCTTCCTTTTGACTGGGTTGTTGTAGGTTTTTTTCGGGCGATATGGCCATGTTTTAGAGGCAGTCCCTCCTGACGTTTCGCCTGCATCTATGGCAAGCATCCTCAGAGGTAGTGAGGTCTGTTGGAACTAGCAAAATAGGGTTTATATATCTGTGGAATGATTAGGGTGGGACAAAGAACTCTTGTCTGCTGGAGCTAAGTGTGAATGTTTCAACTGACCACCTTGTTTAGCATTTGATGGCCTGGCAGATTTTTGGTGTGTGTCAGTTGAAACATTCACCCTTAGCTCCAGCAGACAGGAGTTCTTTGTCCCACCCTAGTTATTCCACAGATATATAAACCCTATTTTGCTAGTTCCAACAGACCTCGCTACCTCTGAGGATGCTTGCCATAGATGCAGGCGAAACGTCAGGAGAGAATGCCTCTAGAACATGGCCATATAGCCTGAAAAAACCTACAACAACCCAGTGATTCCGGCCATGAAAGCCTTCGACAATACTTCCTTTTGACATTTATATGTGCATACTGTTATTCATAACTCTCTCTCAGCCTTCCAGCTTTTTCTCTTCTTTCAGAAACTTACAATATTGACTATAATCTTCAAATCCCATGATCACCAATTCATTTTCTTTCTTTTTCCCTTTTTTTGCAAAAAGTCTATAAGAGGTTTCAGGTTTTAGAGAATGTCATTAACAGTCTTTGTGTAATCCAACTTAAACAATGATTCTATTTCTACTAAATTTATTAGGTTTGACAACAATTCCTCCAGCTTGGATAAACAATCATACAGTGTGGTAATTCTCCATCATCCATCTTTTCCCCAACTGTATATCCATCATTTCAAAAAAAAAAAAAAAAGAAAGGAAAAACAATGTAGTTAAAATTGCATGCTAATCTTTAAAATCAATAAAACATCCCTTTTTATTACTCACATTTCTTGTATACATTAAATAAATATTTCCCCTTACCATTGCTTAAACAATACATCAAAACATGCATCATGTGGAATGCAAGCATTCCAGGCAAAACATTCCTTTTCATCACAAAAGCTTTCCCAATAGAAATTTAAACTGTTTAGCGTGTCCTTCCCAATTCCACTCTATATTTTAACAGAATTATATTTAAAACAAAATACAATTCACATTCATCTTTATAATCCGAATAAACATATCCTTTTATGATAGTCACATTTCTAACATACATTAAACTCATATTTCCTACAAGCTTTAAATGCTGATTGATGGCAGCTAGACCATCTGCAAGAAGGTTGGTTGGGGTGTCACAGCTGGTGACAATTACAACACAGGGGAAGGGGGATCTGTATTGGGGATGTACAGTGGGACTGCCATCCCATGTCCATGTGCTGTCTGATCCCAGAGAATGCTGAATAACTGTCAATACAGCCTCTGCTGGTTCCAGTTAGCAATCAGTTAGGAATCAGCCTGGTTTTGACTGCATTTTAGGGCACTTCCACACAGCCCTATATCCCAGAATATCATGGCAGAAAATCCCATATTATCTCATGGTATTTATTTATTTATTTATCGTGTCATCAGCAACCATACCATTGTATTACATTTCTAACAGAACAAAACAAACAAACAGATAAAAAAAAGCACAAATTTTGCAAACTTGGTAGTTGATTAAATGTTCTTTGACCAGTATCTGGCCACTTGGAGTGCTTCTGGTGTTGCCACAAGAAGGTCCTCCATTGTGCATGTAGCAGGGCTCAGGTTGCATTGAACAGGTGGTCTGTGGTGTGCTCTTCTCCGCACTCGCATGTCATGGATTCCACTTTGTAGCCCCATTTCTGAAGGTTGGCTCTGCATCTCGTGGTGCCAGAGCGCAGTCTGTTCAGCGCCTTCCAAGTCGCCCAGTCCTCTGTGTGCCCAGGGGGGAGTCTCTCATTTGGTATCAGCCATTGGTTGAGGTTCTGGGTTTAACCCTTCCACTTTTGGACTCTCGCTTGCTGAGGTGTTCCAGCGAGTGTCTCTGTAGATCTTAGAACGCTATTTCTAGATTTAAGTCGTTGACGTGCTGGCTGATACCCAAACGGGATGAGCTGGAGATGTCGCTGCCTTGGACCTTTCACTATTGGCTGCTACTTCCCGGCGGATGTCAGGTGGTGCAATACCGGCTAAGCAGTGTAATTTCTCCAGTGGTGTAGGGTGCAGACACCCCGTGATAATGCGGCATGTCTCATTAAGAGCCACATCCACTGTTTTAGTGTGGTGAGATGTGTTCCACACTAGGCATGTATACTCAGCAGCACAATAGCATAGCGCAAGGGCAGATGTCTTCACTGTGTCTTGTTGTGATCCCAAGGTTGTGCCAGTCAGCTTTCGTATGATATTGTTTCTAGTGGCCACTTTTTGCTTGATGTTCAGGCAGTGCTTCTTGTAGGTCAGAGCACGGTCCAGAGTGACTCCCAGGTATTTGGGTGTGTTGCAATGCTCCAGTGGGATTCCTTCCCAGGTAATCCTCAGAGCTCGGGATGCTTGTCTGTTCTTAAGGTGAAAGGCACATGTCTGTGTTTTAGATGGATTAGGGCTCAGTTGGTTTTCCCTGTAATAGGCAGTAAGAGCAGCTAGAGCTTCGGAGAGCTTCTGTTCTCATGATTAGACTCAGATAATCCAGTTCAAAGCAGATATTGTGGGATTTTTTCCTTTATATTCTGGGATATAGGGCTGTGTGGAAGGGCCCTGTGGCCCCTTCTACACTGCCATATAAAATCCAGATTATCTGCTTTGAATTGGATTATCTGGCAGTTAGACTCACATAACTTGGGAGAACCCAAATCCTGGATTTTTATGCATTTTTCTACATATGATTAAAGAATGGATGAATCAAAATTAGATCAATTTCCTTTATTTCTTCAAAATGAATGATAATCAGGATGTTAAGAAGTAAACTCGAAATAAGTACTTGATATACGTCAGAGTTTGAACTCCCAACAGGATACTTCTGGAAGTATACTTACATAGGCCATTATCATTTACAGGAACTGGGGATGATACAAGATCATGGGGACCACCGTTCGTTGGAAGTGAAAGTGTTTATTTTCTCAGTGTAAACAGAAATAAAAAGGTAAAAAAAGATGTCCCACTGCTACTGCTAAGTCTTTTGAAAGTGCCAAATGCCTTTCCTCCACATTACATTACATTAAAAGAGATTAAATACGGGATGCCGCAATTCTTTAAACAAGTATTGGAGTAGTGGTTTGTAACAGTATTAAATGAATAGAATGTATTATAATATTATATTCTATTTTCTTACCATTATTAGAGCATTGCCATCGATTTGAAGAACCCAAAGGGAGCGAAGATCATTAAAGAGGTATGCTTTAAATACAATTATCTTATTGATATGGTCTGTTTGTAATTTGCAGGCCTTTTTTTGGTCATAATTTATGTAAGGTTCTTCTATCCAACTCATTCATTGGGGGAAACTGCCATGATTTAGACTTTTTGTTTGTTCATCTATATGCCCAATGTGAAATAGTGTGCATAGCTGTGGTCCTAAAATAGCAATTAAATGGAGAAGTGTGCCTCCTGGAGGCCTCGTAGGAGTGATTCTCAGTTTTTAAGCAGAAAATGAATTTTAAAAAATGGAGGGAGGGTACTGAGAGTGATTTATCTATGTCACACATGGCATGAGGGCTGCACGGTTTCTATCCTAGTTGTAAACAGCTTCAATTTTGTGTGTGTGTGTCAGAAGCGACTTGAGAAATTGCAAGTCGTTTCTGGTGTGAGTGAATTGGCTGTCTGCAAAGACGTTGCCCAGGAGACGCCCCAATGTTTTGATGTTTTACCACCCTTGTGGGAGGCTTCTCTCATGTCCCCACATGGGCAGCTGGAGCTGACAGAGGGAGCTCATCCACGATCTCCCTGGATTCGAAACTCCGACTTGTCAATCTTCAGTCCTGCTGGAAGAAGGTTTTAACCCATTGTGCCACCTGGGGCTCCTAAGAGCTTAGATGCATTCTCTATAACAGTAGTTCTCAACCTGTGGATCCCCAGAAGTTTTGGCCTTCAACTCCCAGAAATCCTAACAGCTAGTAAACTGGCTGGGAGTTAGACCAAAACACCTGGAGACCCACAGGTTGAGAACCACTGCTCTATAATGAAGGGCAACTTTTGGCCCCCTGGATATTTTAGATTTCAACTCCCATTAACCCCAGCCATTCAAGCATTATGGTTAGTGGCAAGAGATTATGATAGGTAGTTACATTACAAAATTCCTAGCAGCTATAGGTTTCTCATATCTACGAGGGTTGAATAAAAAGTAATGCTTCCACCTTCATAACTTCCTAACTGGTATGTGGCTGGTACTGGCTTGTTCAGTAGACTCTCCTCTACAGTTCCATTTTGGCAGGAAGCCTTAGCATTGAACGATTGTGTTGTTAAAGTGCGAAGCATGGAACCCTGCGCAGACGGTCAGTCAATGCAACTTAAGCAATATGCAGTCATTGAATTCTTGACAGCAGAAGGTGTCACTCCAAAGGAGATTAATCAGAGAATGTTTATGGTGATTGTGTTGATGTGAGTACTGTGCGTCATTAGGTGAGTAAGTTTAAAGATGTTGAGGTGGGAACACCTGACTTTTGTGACAAACAAAGAGTTGGACATCTTGTGACAGCAACCACCGAGTTTCACAAGCAAAAGGTTGACAGATTGATTCAGGACGATTGTTGTATCACTCAGAGAGAAATTTCAAGCATAATCGGCATTTCACAAGAACGTGTGGGTCACATTATTGCTTTGCTTGGCTATTGGAAGATCTGTGCACGATGGGTACCCAGAATGCTGACGCCTGAAATGAAAGCGCACATACTTGAAATTCGCCAGGAACTCCTCTTGTGTTATGAGAATGAAGGTGATGCCTTTCTCCATTCCATTGCGACAGGAGACAAAATGTGGGTACCTCATTATGACCCGGAGACAAAGTGTCAGTCTATGGAATATCGACACAAAGACTCACCCCAGAAAAAGAAATTCAAGATACAGCCCTCAGCTGGAAAAATCACGGCAACAGTCTTCTGGGATGCAGATGGTGTTATCCATGTTGATTTCCTTGAACGTGGAACAATAATACATTCAGAGTGTTACATCACAATGCTGCGAACTTTGAAACAACGGCTAACAAGGGTCTGAAAGGAAAAGGGAAATGTTTTCCTGCAGCATGACAATGCCAAAGCACACACTTCAGATGCCACCACAGCGGAACTTCAGAGACTGGATTTCACAACGTATGGCATCCTCCATACAGTCAAGATTTAGCACCGTCTGACTTCCATCTGTTCCCAATAATGAAGGAAGATCTACAGGGACATCATTATGCTTCTGATGAAGACTTTGAGAGAACTGTGAGATGCTGGTTGTGGAAGCAGAGTGTTGACTTCTTCCATGACAGCTTCAGAAAACTTGTTCATTGTTGGCAGAAATGTATCCAATTGTCTGGTGATTATGTGGAAAAGTGAATAGTGGTAGTTACATCCTAAGTGGCACATTCTAAGGATTAATTCTGCATTTGATTTATTAAAATATTCAAATCGAAACCCAAGTAACAAAGGGTTTAAGATGCTTAGATTTTTAAAGTTTCTGTTGTGCTGCTTTGGCAAATGACACATGGGACTCACATGTTGGTCTCTTCTCCTGTTTGTAGGCTGTTCACTGTTTTGGGTAATGATAAACCTTTCCCCACTTTTTGAAATACCTGAAAATGCTCCAGAAAGTGTGGAGGTTTATTTTTCATTAATTCCTCTTGCCTCCTGATCTGACACAGACAAGTGGGACAACCACTGAAACATTACTTGGATAATCACTTTCTTTCAGTATTGAAAATTATCTAAACCGTTCTTCAGTATAAATTTAATTATCCAAATGAGAACAGACTGACTGATACAAGTAAATATCTTAATGGTCAAATCATTAAAGTGTCAGTTTCCAAGAAGTAGAAAACCTAAACAGCTGAATAATGTTGAGCCCCCTTTCCTTTTAACTAAGGCCCCTTCCACACAGCTGAATAAAATCCTACATTATCTGTTTGGATCTAGAATATATGACAGTGTGTGTGGACCCTGATAACCCAGTTCCAAGCAGATATTGTGGGATTTTCTGCCTTGATATTCTGGGTTATATGACTGTGTGGAAGAGCCCTAAGGCTTGTATCCTTTTTGTTCTCCTTCATTATTTTAGTCTTGCAGTATATAATATAACATCTAGAACAGGGGTCCACAAACTTTCTAAACAGAGGGCCAGGTCACAGTCCCTCAAACTGTTGGAGGGCCGGATTATAATTTGAAAAAAACATGAACGAATTCCTATGCACACTGCACATATCTTATTTGTAGTGCAAAAACACTTAAAAACAATACAGTAATTAAAATGAAGATCAATTTTTGGCTGACGAGATAGGATTGTTGTTGTTGTTGTGTGCTTTCAAGTCATTTCAGACTTAGGTTGACCTTGAGCGAGGGCCGGGTAAATGACCTTGGAGGGCCGTATCCGGCCCTCGGGCCGTAGTTTGAGGACCCCTGATCTAGAATGTTAAGAATCAACTAGAAACTTCAAAATGTTGTTGTAAAGCACTTTCTCATTATTTGAGAATAATTACCGACTGTCTCCATTCTATGCTTGCATATAACAGCGTTCTTTCAAGCAACATTCACATCATATATTTCCTGGTAATGTTAAGCACTTGTGAATGTAATTTGTATCTCTATCTAAACTATCCATTACTAGCATGCAATATTGTTGTTGAACTTTCCAACTGTCCTTTTGAATAGTGGTTTCCCAGGCTTCATTTTTTAGTCTTAAGTGAAAAATAATCCACAAGTGAGAGCAATAATGTTTGTGATTGCTGATACGATGACACAAGTTTACAGAAACCTATTCTAGGGTATTTATGCTAATCAGACCAGATATATGATATTTTCCGAAAATGATTTCTTGGCCGGTTTAAGCTAATCCAAAACAGGTCACTCCTAACACAATCGGACCTCAGTATATACACATATACCTATGCAGAAGGGAGGATGTCCTGAGAAACTGCCAAGCAGGAGGAATGCATGTGTTAGTTGACAGAGTGTGTTGTCTGTGGAATTGGCAGTGTTGGACATTCATGAACCACATTCCTTCAAAGCCCAGGGAAATGGAGGAGTAATGGAGTAAACATGGCTGGTATAGCTATTTCAGAACTCAGAAGAGGCACCTATAGCTACAAAGATCACTGTTCCTAGGACCCTTCCACACAGCCATATAACCCAGAATATCAAGGCAAAAAATCCCACAATATCTGCTTTGAACTGTGTTATCTGAGTCCACACTATCATATGAAAGCTGTGTGGAAGGAGCCCCAGCTTTATCTCTAAACATAATTATGTACTTTCACTGTTAATGTTCAGGCTAAAATGTGAACTTAAAAATATACATTCCTAATTTTAGTTTGGTATAAAGTTGTTCAAAACCCCATCCATATTAACTCCACTCTGCTTTTATTGTAATGATAATTGCATTGATTACAAATAATGGGAATAAAAAAAATCTCTATAGACTTAATGATTTTTTCAAATTAAAACTGGGTGTAACAAATTACAGACACACCTGGAAAGTACAAGATACCTGGACTCAGATATACCAACTCATTCACTATGCAAAAATGTAAATGAATTGACCATTATAGTCAATTTGAGGCACTTATGGGAGATTCTAAGGATAATACTAAAGGTCTAAGTTCCAAGATCTATTGTATTCTATTAGAAAACAAATTATCCAAATCTACAGGGGTCAGACACGTTTGGCTAAATTGAAAAAACAAAAAAAAAAACAAAACCCCAATATCGACAACTGGGTTGCTGAGAGTTTTCCAGGCTGTATGGCTATTTCTGGAAGCATTCTCTCCTGATGTTTCACCCATATCTATCAAGAGTTCTTTCTCCCACCCTGGACATTCCACAGATATGTAAACCACACTTGCCTAGTTTCCAACAGACCTCACAACCTCTGAAGATGCCTGCCATAGATGTGGGTGAAACGTTAGGAGGCAGTGCTTCTGGAAAATGGCCACATGGCCCAGAAAACTCACAGCAACCCAGTGATTCTGGCCAACACAATGTAGACAACAATACCTGCTTTTGTGTATGAAAAATTCTAGTATTTAGGACAAAGGCTACTAATATTAAGAACATGTGATAAAAGTAATCAACTATTCCTGAACTAGCTAATTAAACAGCATGTCATTAAATTAGTCAAATTAATCAACCTTTGGCATTTAACACCAATTAAAACTGCCATATATGGGTAGTTCTGGTAAATGCTGGAGAAATTGTGGTGCAAAAGACCCGGATTTACACATGTAATGTAAATCTCCAAAGGTAAAAAGATACTGGACTAAAGTTTTCCGAATGATAAGCAAATCTCTTTCTCTCTCTCTCTCTCTCTCTATATATATATAAATGCTCTGTTAATTTTGAAGTTTGGATTACTTGACTTTATCAAATTAAATCATTTCACTGACTTTGTTGCCTCTCCAAAATAGCATGTGAACATATGGAATGATATTACGAGGAAAGATTTGAAGTAGTTTATTGTAAACGAGGATTCCAAGATTGTTCTGCTCTTCGTGTATCTAGAAAACACATATTTGAAATTTATTATTACTATTTGCTGTTTTATTTTTGTGATCGTATAGCAAAATACATGTTTTTAAAAACATATTATTTCTCTTGCTCATGCTGTAAAACTCTGAGCTGCATGTGAAAATGGAAGGTATTTACCAACACAAAATGCTTGAAGTCTGCTTGCCTGCAATTTCCACCTGTCTCTTTAATCTATATAAATAAAAATGTAATGTTCGTTTGTGGGATTAACATAACTCAAAAACCACTGGACAAATTGACACCAAATTTGGACACAACACCCCTATCAGGCCAACGAGTGACCATCATTAATAAAAACACTGAAAAATACAGCAGAAGGGACTTAAAAAGCCAAAAACCAAAAATTACATTACAACGCATGCGCAAAACCACATATGTACATAAACACACATATATACACATATACACAAATACACACACACACACATACATACAAGATATATGCACACACAAAACACATACACAGAAAGGGGGAAGGAAGGAGGGAACGAAGGAAGGAACGAAGGAAGGAGAGAAGGAGAGAAAGAGGGAATGAGAGAAGGAAAGAGAGAAGGAAAAAAAGAAAGGTAGAGAAGGAAGGAAGGAGAGAAGGAAATAAAAAAGTGAAAGAGAGAAGGAAGGAGAGAAGGAACGAAAGAGACAGAGGGAGGGAAGGCAGGAAAGAGACAAGGAAGGATGGAACCAGAGCAAATGAAGTGAGAAAAGAAACAGAGAAGGAAGAAAGAAGAAGGGAAAGAAAAAGAGGGCGGAAGGAAGGAAGGAAGGAAGGAAGGAAGGAAGGAAGGAAGGAAGGAAAGACGGAAAGACGGAGAGAAAGAAGGAAGGAGAGAAAGAGGGAGGGAAGGTTGGCCACAGCAATGCATGGCGGGTACATATAATAATAGCCACTTGCCTGAAGAATTACAATTCAAAGCATTACTCACTGTAGTATTGCATCTCAAACCATCTATTGCATTGGACTATCACTCTTCCCAATGTGTCATGGAATGATATCATATTTATTATTTTCATATTCACTTTTATTGTGGACATTTGCTATAGGGAAGGAACTAATACCTCATTTAATAGCACAGGTCCATGGACCACCACTTTCAGTGCACTATTCTTGAGCAGAGATGGACAATCTGTAACTTTCCATATATTAGAGTCATTGCACTTCCCAACATTCTTCTCTGTTGGCTAAGTTGGCTATGTTGAATGTTTTAAATTGACTTTTACTGTTTTAATTGAAATTCCTGTGGTGTATATGTTAATAGCATCATTTGATGCTTATGTGAGGCTGCCCTGTGTCCCCTTTTTGGGGAGAAAGGCGGGGTATAAATGAAATGTAATGTAATGAAATAAATAAATAAATTTAAGGCAATTGCAGTCCAATGCTAGAGGAGGGCATTTGTTGATATTTTCTCTGAATGGTTCAGTGGATAGTCTTTAGTATTTTATTATTATTATTAACTTTATTTGTACCCCGCTAGCATCTCCCGAAGGACTCGATACGGCTTACACAGGCCAAGGCCTCAATAAAACAACAGCATAACAAAAACACATAACTTAAAGCAAATCAAACAATAAAACAATAGCAGTAAACAATAAAAACAATACACCATAACACAATAAAACTAGGGCCGGGCCAAATGTAATGGGTACAGATTAAAAAGTGCTGGGTGTGACAGGTGGATGTAGGATTTTAGGGTAAATGCAATGTGCAGACCATCTTAAAACTCTGATAAAGTGCTTCTGGGACATATTACTGGAGTTCCTATTCTGGAAAGGCACATTGGAACAGCCAGGTCTTCAAACTCTTCCTAAAGACTGCCAACGTAGGGGCTTGTCTGATGTCTTTGGGGAGGGTGTTCCAAAGTCGGGGGACCACCACAGAAAAGGCCCTGTCCCTCGTCCCCACCAAACGTGCTTGCGACACAGGTGGGATTGCTAGCAGGACCTCTCCGGATGAGCGAAGAGAACACATGGGTTCATAAACAGAGATGTGGTCACGCAGGTAGCCAGGTCCCAAACCGTTTAGGGCTTTGTAGGTGAGCATCTGCACCTTGAATTGGGCCCGGAAAATGAACGGCAGCCAATGGAGGTCCTTAAACAGGAGGGTTGACTTCTCTCTGTAGGGAGCACCAGTTAACATCCTGGCCGCCGCCCGTTGGACCAGCTGAAATTTCTGAGCCATTTTCAAGGGTAGCCCCACGTAGAGCGCATTACAGTAATCCAATCTAGAGGTGACCAAGGCATGGACCACCCCGGCCAGATCAGCCTTTGCGAGGTACGGTCACAGTTGGCGCACGAGTCTCAGTTGTGCAAAAGCCCTCCCAGACACCGCCGACGCCTGAGCCTCAAGCGTAAGTGATGAATCCAAGAGGACTCCCAAACTGCGGACCTGTGACTTCAGGGGGAGTGTAACCTCGTCCAGCACAGGTTGCCACCCTATACCCCGATCCAGTTTACGATCGACCAGGAGGACCTCTGTCTTGTCGGGATTGATCTTCAGCTTGTTCATCCTCATCCAGATAGCCACAGCGGCCAGGCACTTGAGGGGCCTCCTTGGAGTTAGGTGGAAAAGAGTAGTAGAGTTGTGTGTCATCTGCATAGAGATGGCACCTAACTCCAAAACTCCGGATGACCTCTCCCAGCAGTTTCATGTAGATGTTAAAAAGCATGGGAGACAAAATAGAGCCTTGTGGGACCCCACAGGTCAAAGGCCAGGGGTCCGATATTTGTGTTTCAGATTTCAAGAATCTACATATTATATTAGAGTTTACTCCATGCTAAAATGCGATCTGTTGTGCAAATAGCACTATCAGTAATATTCACAACTTCACTCAACAGCAAACTAAAGTAAAATGATTGCTTTTATTTTCTCTTTATCTACTCACCCAAAGAGTGATTGACAATTACAATTTGAGAAGTTGCCCTTCTATGATAGATAACTCCTTTGGTAAGTCACGCTCACAGTTGTACCTTTGTGACAATATTTCTGAAGATTTACGAAGGAATGCTTCAAGGCAGACTTGATGTCTGCTCAGTAATTGGACTCTACGATATAAAATAATTATTTATGCAACACTGTGAAATATAATGTAATAAGGCAGATTTGATGACATGTGTAGTGTAGCAGTGCCAGTAGTATTTACAGTAATTTTTAAATTAACTATTTAAATTAAATTTGCTGTTGCTGAAATTTTGGAAGTTCATTAAAGGTCTGATTTATTTTCAGCTTGCAGCTGTCTCTGATGTCTTTGTGGAAAACTACATCCCTGGGAAACTCGCTGCGATGGGCTTGGGCTATGAGAACATTAACAAGGTTGCTCCACAGATTGTTTACTGTTCAATAACAGGTATCTAAATGTATGTTATGGCACAGTGATTCAAGTATGTAGTTCTTTACTTTATGTTACCAGGGCTCTTTTGAAGTGAAGGTCTGCCTTTTAAAAATCTGCTTTCTTTGTTCCTATGCTGTCTGGTAGGATGGTGTTATGAAAAATGAGATTTATTTCATTCATACTCTGTGTTCTGTCGCACGCTGGGCCTGTAAAGAATTTCCTTTAAAATAGGACGTGCAACCTTTGCTCAGCGGGAAGCCAGGGGGCTCCAAAGAGAAGTTCTCAGGGATTTTCCAGAAGTGATGGCCTTTAGAGTCTTTGATAATGCAACGAAGTCTTTATTATGGAACAAACAACAAATCTTCAATGGTTCAAACAACACTTCAAGGCTTTCTCAGTCTAGTCCTCAATGGACTGGCACCTGACTTTGATTAACTAATCTTTCTCAGTAGGAAAACCCTTTTTAACTTCTTCCAGGCTGAATGTAATCTAATCATTACTGATGTGAGCTCCGCTACCGGGTCGATCTGTGTCTCGAGCACCGATTGGACCTACCAGTAAGGCTAGTAGATTCCCCAGCTGGAGTTCTTTGGTCTTCCAAACTGTTTATTCTCCGAAATTCCTCAAAGCTTTAGGGCTGTTTCCCTGGAAGTCTTTGGAGATCTTTGGATGCTCTTAAGACTGTTTTCCCCTGGAAAGTCTTAAGGGTTGAAGCTTTTGTACAGGAGAAGCTTGAACACGTCCTCTAAATTAGCTTTCCTTAGTGAGACTAACTAAAAATGGCTCCCTTCCCAATTGCCCTGAACAAGGGGCGGAACCAAAACTTAACGATGATGGACAGGTGACTTGCACTACGACTGCAACCAGAGGAAGTCACCTTTCTGCAGACTCCTTGAAAGCTTGGAATGCAAGCAAACATTTAATACAAAGTAAATAAAGTTGGAGCTCCTGGTACAGCCTTACCAGCACACTCTCAGCAGGTAGGTTTGTGCATTTCGGGTGAATCCCAATCCGTTTCTGCTTGCTGGATACTGGAAGCCCCCCATATCTGTTTTCAGGTGCCTCCTGAAAACAAGTTCCTTTCCGAAAGAGTGTTTTCATTCTTCAGCCAAACCCTCGGCTATTTTTGGTCCATTGAGGCAATTGGGGGAGGGATTCTCCTCCCCTTCCCATCATTTTAGGCAATGGCATTGTTTGTCCTTAGATCCTTCATTGAGACCTGGATTAAAAACATCAGTGTTTCTTAAGATACCACTCTTCCTGTGATGCTTTCCCCTTGGTCTGCAGAGGAGACCTGGGTTGCAATAAATGGCGTAAGATACCACTCTTCCTGTTATGCTTTCCCTGGGGGAGCCCAGGGATCAGCTCCTGCTTGCTTTTGTATCAAGCAAGCTTTTGTGCTGGGGGGGGGGGAGGGCTTCCTGTTACGAGCTCCTGAAGGTGCCCGAGGTGCCACAGGTACCAAAGGAAATGATATCCATACACAACCTTAGTGCAAGGTGGATGAGAGTGATTGGATGCATTTTCCCCTCTCTAGATTTAGGTCAATTTTGGAATCTAGTGGGGCCAATCTGAAGAGCTAATAGGAACATTCGTCTTCTGCTATGATGTTGTGCTACATACAAACAATATTGTCACAAATAAATTTTTGTACAAATAAGTCTTTCCTCACAAGTGCATTGGGGTGTGCTGAGAAAGTATACAAGAAGCTCGGCCTGTCATTGAACATCGAGAAAACCAAAGTGCTGTTCCAACAGTCACCAGCCAATCCCTCTCCAATGCCAGAAATACAGCTTAATGGTGTAACATTAGAAAATGTTGACCATTTCCACTACCTTGCCAGCCACCTCTCCACCAAAGTCAACATTGACACCGAAATACAACACCGCCTGAGCTCTGTGAGTGCAGCATTTTTCCGAATGAAGCAGAGAGTGTTTGAGGACCAGGACATCCGTAGGGATACCAAGGTGCTTTTTTATAAAGCTATTGTCCTCCCAACCCTGCTGTCTGCGCACCATACCACTGGAGAAATTACACGGTATTGCACCACCTGACATCCGCCGGGAAGTAGCAGCCAATAGTGAAAGGACCAAGGCAGAGACATCTCCAGCTCATCCTCTTGTTTGGGTATCAGCCAGCACGTCAACGACTTGAATCAAGAAATAGTTTTCTAAGATCTACAGAGACACTCACTGGAACACCCCAGCAAGCGAGAGTCCAAAAGTGGCAGGCTCAAACCCAGAACCTCAATCACACAGAAAACTGGGCGACTTGGAAGGTGCTGAACAGACTGCGCTCTGGCACCACGAGATGCAGAGCCAACCTCAAGAAATGGGGCTACAAAGTGGAATCCACAACATGCGAGTGTGGAGAAGAGCAAACCACAGACCACCTGCTGCAATGCAACCTGAGCCCTGCCACATGCACAAGGGAGGACCTTCTTGCAGCAACACCAGAGGCACTCCAAGTGGCCAGCTACTGGTCAAAGGACATTTAATCAACTACTAAGCTTGCAAACTCTGTTTTGTCTGTTTGTTAAAAATTTGTTAAAAATGTAATACAATTGTCTGGTTGCTACTGACATGATAAATAAATACGGACATCACATGCAACTCCTGGAATGATTCCATCCAGGAATCATTCCTGCCTCTGGAAAAGCCTGCAAATCTCTTGGGTAGACAAGCGGACAAATGTCAGATTGCTGGAAGTTCAAAGTCTACCAGCATTGAAGCAATGGTCCTCTGCCATCAATTCTGCTGGATCGGCCACGTTGTCCGGATGCCTGACCACCATCTCCCAAAGCAGTTGCCCTACTCCGAACTCAAGAATGGAAAACGGAATGTTGGTGGGAAAGAAAAGAGATTTAAAGATGGGCTCAAAGCCAAACTTAAAAACTCTGGCATAGACACTGAGAACTGGGAAGCGCTGGCCTTTGAGCGCTCCAGCTGAAGGTCAGCTGTGATCAGCAGTGCTGTAGAATTTGAAGAGGCATGGATGGAGGGCAAAAGAGAGAAACGTGCCAAGAGGAAGGCACGTCAAGCCAACCTTGACTGGGATTGCCTTCCACCTGGAAACCGATGCCCTCACTGCGGGAGAAGATACAGATCAATAATAGGGTTCCACAGTCATCTATGGACCCACTGCCAGTACACTGATCCTGGAAGACTATCTTTCTCGGACAACGAGGGATCGCCTAAGTAAGTAAGTAAGCTGAGAAAGGATTCTGTCCACACTCAATCAGGGAATCTACTGGTGTTAGATTTTCTCAGTTTCGTAGGGAGCCCCGCCTGTGTCTCTTAAGCCCTTTATTAAAACCCAGGTATCCTCTGCAGACTCAGGAGCTTCTATTTATTTCTTACCCACCTCTCCTTGTGACTCGAGGTGGACCACAATATGTTGGGGTGCTGTACCACTTACATGGAGAATTTTGCTTAGTATTTTTTGCTGTTGCAACCATTAAAAATCAGTTGCGAAGGTTACCAATTTAATTCACCAATTTTACTTTTTAAAGTGATGGAATATGATGAAAGATATGCATATAAGAGAAAAGAGAAATGGAAGAAGCAAAAATGGAGCCCCAAATGCATTCAGTCTACTTGTTTTTGTTTTCCTTCGTGAAAAATAATGGCAGTGGAAAATATTTCAGTTAACAATTGAATCAAACCATTGATAGTAATCAAAAACAGAATCCCCCAAATCTGTTTCATGGATTTAGATCAGCTGATCAAATTGCTTGGTTTTGATTTAGGCAAATAATTCAATCCTATCTTTTTTAAAAGTCTGGAGTGGATTGTTTTTCTGGTTCTGGTGCAGCTATTGCAAAACTGTTTTTTAAAGAAAGACTTAAATTGTTCTAAGCATTGTAAATTATACATTTGGCATTGCTGCTGTTGCTTCTTGATCTTCCATATTAGAGTATCAAAGCACTTTTGGTAAATATCGGTTATGATTTTTAATGAAAAAAAAAACTTGCTCATTGTTTTTCAGACCTAATCTGCTGTTCTTAAAGAATGGTATCTGTCTAGTTTCTTATTTTGTAACTGTGGCTAGTGGAAACATTAGGAAGATATCTGTTGTTGTCTCATAAGAGTAAATATTTCTTCACAATAAGTTTATTCGCCAGATGTTAAAAGATCATAATCACTGGGGAAATGTTAAAAAGATTGTTTACATTTTTCAATGAAAATAAAAGGGTTAAGCAATGTCAATTTTTGTCCAGCCTTTGTCAGAAACACAACTCAACTTCTTTTCATCCCATGTGTTTTAAATGTCACTTTCACATTGCTATTTCTTTTTCATTTTGTATTTCCATATTGGGAACATTGTGTAATTATTATTTATTCACATTTCACTGTGATGTTCTCTTATATTATTTTCAGCATAGTCAGAGAGTACGACAAACTTGAACCCAAAAATTATGAGCGAAAAGGCAGAGTTCAATTAGCTGAAATTCATGAATAGGTAGACAATCCTGTTGAATGAACTGGGAAATAACATAGATATTTCATCAGCCTGAATATAAGTATATACAGGGTGCGGCAGCATAACTTCCTTTTTTAAAATGCATGCCATTCAGTTGGTTGAAGACGTAGCGGAGCGCTAGTGGTCTCGTTTGAGAGGTGGGAGTATAAAGTTTTGTCCTGACACAGTTCAGTCGCCATCATGCGTTGGAACAGTGAGGAGCGTGCTTTTGCTGTTGAGGCCTACTTTTCGAGTGGATGTTCTGTGATCGCAACCCAGCGCGCCTTTTGGAATCGCTTTAATTTAGCCCCATTGGCCCCTGTCCTGGACTGAAAATCAATTGTGACATGGGTCAGCACATTCAGCCAATTGCAAGTGCAACAAAACAAAGAACTGGAGTCCCTCGGCCCATTAGATCACCTGAGAACATTGAGGCAGTGAGAGCTTCAATGTTGCGATCACCACGACGTTCTGTGCGCAAACATGCGCCTGCCCTTGGACTTTCCAATCGTTCTGTGAGAAGAATTCTTTATGATGATCTTCATTTCCATCCTTACAAGATGGCAATTGTGCAGGAACTTTCTGAACATGACTTCAATTTTCGGAGGAACACGTGTGAGGTTCTTCTTGAAGTCGTTCCTAAGGGCGCTATTGTTTTTTTTAGTGATGAAGCCCATTTTCATTTGTGTGGATCCATCAACAAACAAAACATGCGCTACTGGGCTGACAACAATCCTCGAGAATTGCATCAAAGGTCTTTGCATTCACCTAAAATCACAGTGTGGTGTGTAATTTCCTCAGCTGGAATTATTGGTCCCTGGTTCTTTGAGGAAAATGAAGTCACAGTGACAGTGAATTCGGACTGGTATGTAAACATTTTACAGGAATTTTTTTCCCCACGGCTAGATGGGTTGGACTTAGGGGACATTTGGTTCCAACAAGATGGTGCAACTGCACACACTTCCAGAGCATCAATGGCTGTTTTGAGGGAACACTTCCCAGAGCGCCTCATCTCAATTAGGGGGGATTTGGAGTTGCCGGCCCGCTCTCCAGATTTGGCCCCTTGTGATTTTTTTTCTATGGGGTTTTTTGAAATCCCATGTTTATGTGAACTGTCCAAGGACCCTACAAGATTTGAAGACGAACATCCAAGAAGAAATTGCCAACATAACGCCTGCTATGCTGGCAAGAGTCATGACAAACGCCAGAAATCGGTTTACTCAGTGTATGGAGAATGGGGGATGTCACCTACCTAATTTGATCTTCAAAGCTACGTAAAACAAAACTTTAGGTATGCGCCTACATTATATAAAAAAATCTGATTCCTACAATAGGTTTAAGTTTTGAAAAAAGGGAGTTAAGCTGCTGCATCCTGTACTAGTAATCTTATAAGCATTCCATACTCCATCATTGCACAAGAAGTCCAAGAGGGCATAGTTTCCTTTGCCAGACGAAGAGTTAAATGCAGCCCTCAGTAGGAATTATTCTTCACACATTGTATGACCAGATAAAGGAGGTTTGGGTCTCTTCCCCAGTAGTGCTTCCTTGTTCATAACTGCTCTACTTCCAGCTTTTGAATAACAAGGGAAATTTACAATTAGTAATGAGTACTTCCTTGGGGCTGTGATGGCACAACGGGTTAAACCACTAATCTGCAGAACTTGCTGATCAGAAGGTCGGCAGTTTGAATCCAAGGAGTGATGTGAGCTCCCACTGTTAGCCCCAGGTTCTGCCAAGCTAGCAGTTTGAAAACATGCGAATGTGAGTAGACCAATAGGTACCACTTTGGCAGGAAGGTAACAGCACTCCATGCAGTCATGCTGGCCACATGACCTAGAAGGCATCTGTGGACAGTGCCGGCTCTTTGGCTTAGAAATGGAGATGAGCACCACTCCCCAGAGCCAGACTCAACTAGACTTAATGTCAAGGGAAAATCTTTACCTTTACCTAATGAGCACTTCCTATCATCCTGTCTTTGAGATTTCAGCCAATCGTCTTGTACAATGGAAAATCATTAGACACAAATAATGATTTTCCAAAATGTGCTTATGAAAACCACAGTGTTTTCAATAAACAACATGTTTGTATATAAAGAGGGTTTACATAGTGATATGGAGCCTATTTGTTGAATAATTAAGCTAGAGAATTATACACAAGCGGGCCCAAAAAGAAGTGAAAAAGAGACCAGTCCCTTTCTCAGTCAAATTGTGCAGACTTATGTATTTGACAAGTGAAGGATGCAAAAAACCTTAGTTTATATTGAAGAATTCATAGGGCATGCACTCCTAAATTTGAAATAAACACCATACAATTTGTTATTGTAAGAAAGTCAGGATGGTATGGGAATTAAAGCTGAATGAACTCTGAATAATACCCTGCTGCATTTGTTCCTTGTATTGATTTGCTCCTTTTCAGTATGAAATGAAACTATACATCTGGTAATGTATATTGGCAGCAAGAGATAAACAGCATTCCTGTTCTGGGAAGGAGCTAACTTGCTTGGCATGCAGCAGTGGGTTTTAATAGAGATACTTTTTCTGGGGGTTACTAGAAACCAAATGTGCTTTGATATTTCTGATGATAAGCAGAATCGGTTTCTGATGTAGAGGTGACCTGAAGAGCAGCTGAGAATCATTCTTGCAGCTTTTATGATGCATTTCAGGTGTTCCATCAATAAAAATTCATTTATTGACCAAATGTTGAGAATAGATTTTATGGAGAACTTAGATAGTATAACAAAAGGTCATGTTACACTTTGTTACAAGTTAACACCAAAGGAACTGTCCCTTATGCCAGAAAAGAAGCCTATTTTATTTATTGCTCAGCAGCTACACATCTAAGCTCTCAAATATATATTTGGAGTCAGAATTTCCATCAAAGAAGTACAACAATTTTTAAACTTGTGTCTGCGAGGCTTTCCCGAGTCCCTATTTGCTGACTTGGGGTGTTATAGGTGGCTGTCATCTGTCTTCTAGGACTGCCATCTTCTTTCCAAGAGACATTATACCAAATGGGATTCTTGAAATGTCCTTCTCAGCCACTGGTCACTCAGGAGATGGTTGTTTGATGGTGAACCATCCTGGTTGGGAACATTAGAGAGGAAGTATTCTATCCTGCCAGCCTAATAGATACGATTTCAGTCAGATTTTTTTTAAGAAGCCTTCTTTTTAATACACATTTTATTTCCTGTATCTAGGCTCTCATCTATATAAATAAAAATGTAATGTTCGTTTGTGGGATTAACATAACTCAAAAACCACTGGACGAATTGACACCAAATTTGGACACAATACACTTATCAGGCCAAGAAGTGACCATTACTCATAAAAACACTGAAAAACACAGCAGAAGAGACTTAAAAAGCCAAAAAAAAATATATAGATTACAACGCATTGGCAAAACCACACACACACATATATGCATGCAAGCACACATATATACACATATACACAAATATACAGACACACAAAGCACAAATACACAGACTGGACCACAGCAAAGCGTGGCAGGAGATGGCTAGTGTGTGTGTCTCTCTCTTTCTCTCTCTCTCTCTCTATATATACTAGCCATCCCCTGCCACACGTTGCTGTGGCCCAGTCTGTGTATATGTGTTTTGTGATGTATATGTGTGTATATATTTGTGTATATGTGTATATATGTGTGTGTTTTGCATATGCGTTGTAATGTTGTTGTTTTTTTGCCTTTTAAGTCCCTTCCACTGGGTTTTACAGTGTTTTTATGAGTGACGGTCACTTGCTGGCCTGATAGGTATATTGTGTCCAAATTTGGTGTCAATTTGTCCAGTGGTTTTTGAATTATGTTAATCCCAGAA